CAGTGACTCATGATGTTGTACATCTTTTGTGTATTTGGTTGTTGTTAATTATGTACCAACTCTTATGTTATTATGTTGTTATTAATGTACCAACTCTTAGCTGATTGGGTTTTCCAAGGCAGTAATTTACACAGAAGGAGATTGTCCATCTTTCTTTCCTCTATGGAGCATCTGGTGGATTCGAACCATGTGTCTGTTGGTTCACAATGCAGGTCCTCACCACTTGGCCACCAGAGCTCCTTATGCATTTGGTAGCCATTACCATGTCTTTGATTAAATGTGTATTCAATTCCTTTGTCCTTTTCTTGAGTTTTGTTAAGTTGTATAGTTGTGGTGTTATATGCTATTATTGAGTCAATTGCAACTCATAGTGACCATGTACGACAGAGTGGAACTGTCCCACAGGGTTTCCTAGCCTGGAGTCTATGGGAGCAGATCACTAAGCCTTTTCTCCCATTACACCACTGGTGGGTTAAAACCACTGACCTTTTTCTTCTTCTTCTTTTTTTTTTTAAACAACTAAACATTTTTACCATTGTACCACCAGGACACAATATTTTGTTAAGTTGTAAGAGTCCCTTATATATTTTAGATATTAAATTAGCTCTAGGGCCTAGTGGTAAGGAGTTGTGATTCAGTCCCAAAGCCACACAGTTCAAATCCACCAGCTGCTCTGCAGGAGAAGGGTGGGTAATCTCCTCCTGTGCGATTTACTGCCTCTAAAAATCTGCTGGAGGTCACCTATGGGTTAGTTCTGACTTGATGGCACACTACACTAACAACAGTGTGAATCCCCAAAGTTTTCTCATAATCTGTAAATTGTCTCTTCATTTATTGATAAAGTTCACTGATAATGAAAATGTTAAGTTTTAATAGAATCCATTTTATTTGTTTTGTCTTTTGTTACTCATACTTTCACTGTGATGTCTAGTAATCTAATAGTGAAAAATGACGTCCTGAGGGTGGGTGATTTGAATCCACCAACTCCTCCCATGTGCTTTGCTGCCTTGGAAACCTGTTGGTCACAACTCAGTGGCCTTGAGTTGAGGTTTTTATCAGTGGATTCTTGATCCCATTTTGCATGCATTTTTGTGTATAGTATGAGGTCCAGATTCATTCTTTTGCTTCTGGTAATCCAGTTGTTTCATACCATTTATTAAAAAGACTATTTTCCCCCCTTTTGATGGACTTAGCACCCTTGCTCAAAGTTAATTAGCTATAAATGTATGGATTTATTTCTGAACTCTCCACTCTGTTGGGTGGTGGATGGCCAATCCTTCTTCCTAGTCTGTCTTAATCTGAATGTTCAGATTTAGAGGAGTATCTGACAGACAGTAATTTGTGGGGCAGTTAAAGATAAATCCCTTATTGTGGGGGTAAGCGTTAGTTAAAGTGTTGATCCCACCCTTAGCCCAGTGCCATTA